AAATGTGTTTTATCTTTCTAGCTTGCTTTCTTCTATCGTTTTGAATGTCAAAGACAGGATGTTCTGGTATAAATACTGGTGTACTATGACCTAATTATTGAAATCGGATGTAATGGATCAGTGCAGTTTACTGTCATTAGTATATTGAAAAACATGTTAAAAAAATTACATGCAATTTTAGCGAATTGTGGTGAAATGACGTAATAGCGAAATATTGATTTAGCGAATCTCTCTTGTCATTATTGATTTCCTGTTTTCACAATACTTGTCTGTGGCGTGCCAAAACAAATGCGCAGTTATCATCTCCATACTATAAAAAAAACAAAGAAAAACTGTCTAGTGTAATTAGGAAGCGCCCCAGATTTTTTATGTTCCGAATTACTGTATACAAATTTACAAGCCTTGACCATTTTGAATTTATAATAAAGTCATTAGCGAAAGTATATTTACCTTTGGTGGACTTCTCTTAAATTTGTTTGTTTTCATAAAATGAGATATTTTAGACTTGGATGTTATCTCAATTGACCCAATTATGTTCGATCTGTTCATTATTTTCCCCCTTGCAACATTTCCAAAATGCAAGACTATAATAGTTTCCCTGTCATGTTTGTACGATTTAAGCATTGTTGCTACCGTGTTATATATAATTGTCAATGTGGTGTTTTCAGAATATTCGTGAATAATTATGTCGATGGCACAGTAAGGAAAACGTGTTTCTTCAGAGAGGGTGCAGTTGCCATGAATCCTGTATTACATTTCTTATCTCCCCCTTGCTGCAGTTTATGCAGCTCTCTTGGTCGTGGTATACGTTGCGGGGCGACCAACAACGTAACGTAATATCAAAATAGCTTAAGCGGCCAATAAGAGCTGCTAAACTGCAGCAAATCTCCCCCAGTTGTTTAAAAGATTAAAACGTTATCACAAAAATAAAACACGAGACATGCGTTAGATCAAAAGAAATACCCTCATTGCCAGTCTGTTTATTCGTTTGAAGGTTAAATTCACCTGGAAACGGACTTGGATAAGATCATGATCAGACATGATGGACTGGCAAGGGGTCATGATCACTGTTATGCTGACCGCCACAAAAAAAAATATATTTATAGTATTTCCGACCTCATGACATCTACAGCGCTGTGAAATGGCAGAAGAACAACAGGGAGCCCGGGAACTATAATCAACTGTACGCACTCCTATGAGCGGGGTTGGAGTTGGGGTTATCGGCTGGTATCACGCCGTACACTAGACACCAGCCGAGAGTTCCTGGGCAACCAGTTGAGCAAGGCTAACCGAGTCGTGACCTCGATGTGGTTCGTAACCAGTCTTGTGATTGGTTGTTGATAACCTCCAACTGTGCCATGCGTTTGGGCAAACCGTTAGGAATTCCTAAATGGAGTAAATTTGTGTACTTTTCTTGATTTATTCTGCAGATATCGGTAAAATGTAGGTAGCTTTGGCGAAATTTGAAGAAGCAACTAATATTCTTCAACCTGGTATTTTTTTTTAGATTTTATTTTTCATTCTTTTCGTCTGTGTTTTCGAGTTTAAAAAATGTGAGCTGGCTGGAGCCTTCATCCCTTGTCTATTTCTTACACTAGATACCAGCCGATACCCCCCCCCCCCCGCTCATAGAGACTGTGTATTATAGTTGATTATAGTTCCTAATTCCTGGGCTCCCTGTGGTAATTCTTGCGACAATATAATAAACTCGCAAATATAAATCGCGGGCAATGAATAAACATACACATGTCGATCTTTCTGCAATTTATGGTATACGTTGCGGGGCGACGCAACGTAATGTCATAATAGCCAGCCTGGCAACCTGCGGCGCATCATGAATTTTCAAGGTGAATGTTCCGGCGAAGCACTCCACTGTGGAGGGAGGAATGTTCGAACGGAGCATCACCGTGCAGGCGGACGATGCCTGTGGCGGTGAAAACAAATGTCCAAAACTCGCAGAAAACGGTACTTTGGGATGATTGTTGAGACTCCTCTGAACAGTGTAACAAGATTAGCCCTAAGTGTGTAACATGTATAAATTTGGTTGTTCGGAATTACTTCAAAGTTGAGTTTGTGTTGTTTACTCGAATTTTCACCGGCTCGACCGGCGTTCCACAGCAGCGCGCATAGAAATGTTGGCTGGTCCCCGCCTCTACGCGCAAGCTCAAAGCCGGGTCACGTTATCTGACGCACAGTTCAGCGAAATAGAAATGCAGTACAGTGGTGCGCGTCGTAGCAACGAAGGAACGTCTTGTGACGTAGCTCCGCCCCCGTGGTCAAACGTTTAGTGATGTCCGCTCCCGGGTGTCCGCTGTGTACTAAAAACATGTTTTTTGGAGTGTTATTCAGAAGAGTGGTTGAATTCAGTAATAATGACTTTAAAATCGTATTTCCACTCAAACGATTCAAATCCCGTAGTAGATTGTCCACGCAATATACAGTGGTGAGGGCGCTATTTGATTGGAAATGCGACTGTTCTAGGGGTCCTTTGAAGGCGGACCAAGATAATTTTATAAACATGTAGCTAGGGCGTATGATATTTAGTGTTGATTAAAATGGCGGAAGTTGAAATGGTTGGAAAATCCATTCTCGAAGAACCTCACAGACTTCCAGGGGGATATGTATATGAAGGAGTGATGTTCAGTAAAGCAGTGCGGAAGAGTGTTTTAGACTCGTGTGATCAAATCGAGTGTCATAATGATGACGTATTTGTTGTTTCCTATCCGAAATCAGGTACTGTAAATCACGAGCTGCAGTTCTGAATTGAAGCACACGATTAGGGTCCTACTATTTAACGCCCGGACACGCGAGGGAGTGTCCGGGCACGCGCGGAGGCGAACAGGGGGGAATACCTAACGCGCGGGGCAGCGGCAGCAATCCTTGTACTGTATAATATTCGTTTATGCTCATAATTTGAACTGGGGTGGCGAATTCATCGGGTCATCCCCACTGCAGCTATGTAATCACAGGACCCTAACTATCTATCCGTGTCAATACTTGGACGTCTATATAATAGAAATATATCCAAATCTCCAAAACTTGTTTTCGCCGATCAGTCTACCCTATATATATATTTGCTGCAGTTTCGAAGCTCTTATTGGCCGCTTAAGCTATTTTGATATTACGTTACTAGCGGCCATGGTCGCCCCGCAACGTATACCACGACCAAGACAGCTGCATACACTGCAGCAATATATATATATGTTATATATATAGTGCAGGTTGTTATATATACCGGTATATGTGCACAAACATGTTCAAAATTGGACAGTGAACTTTGTGTGTCATTAGAACCAACATTGACAATCTACACTAATAATACAATACTAGTAGATGTTTCTAAAGTTGTTGTTTTGACACGTATTTTTTATCGTTTAAATTACAAAATAAACAGTAGAGTAACCGATCAAAAGTAAAAATTTTGGTAAAAACGTTGAATCAAGCCTGAGTGTAATCATATTCATAGTCCAGTCGGTTGAAAATAGATGTCAGGGGTACTTTAGTCAGTAAAATGTGCTCTAAATTTTAATAATCATGTTTGAAAATGGTAATGATATCTTGATCAGCTTTGGTCCTGTTTGATGTTGAAATTGATTATTTTATATTTGTTCTAGTGAGTGTTGGGATAATTAAGGCATTCAGTATGTTAATTTTCTGTATTTATTTTTGGCAATTTACATTTGTTTGAATAGAAGAATTTTTTACAGTGGTGAAACCTATTAGGGCACAGGTGGATTCACATTTCATTTGGAAAAGATGTGATTTTTCGAGTGATAGGTATAAGTACTGAGCTTGACTTGTAACATTTACATCAGAAAAGTTTTGTTTTTATAATGAAGTGAATGTATCGGTACTTTTTGATATAAACATTGTTAAGGTAGAAGCCTAGTCATAATTTTTGACAAAATTGGTCATAAATAGTATGACAATGTTCATTAGTTTATTATGTACAATCATGAAGCTAATGTCCCATAGTACAATTAAATAGCATTATTTTGTGTGTTTCAGTTAAACTTTTTTAAAAAAACATGTCCTAATATTTCTTGAAAATTGCTGTTTTTAGAACAATTCCATTGAACACAATGTTAAATCAATGTTCATCCTCACCAATATATGATTTTTTTAGTCTATGTCACCATGCTTGATTTTTAGATATTGCATGATATCCCTGCCATAAGAACCTATGGTAAAAATGTTATAATAGTGTCAAAAGCATATGAATGAATGGATATTGAATGGTTCTTCGGCCCACATGTATGTCACTATCTATGTATATTTTAAATCTAGTAAGCAAGTGGATAATTAAGCTTGTTTCCATGGTAACATAATCACACTTTCAATTATG